TGACGATCTCGAATCGGCATGCCCAGCAGTGTTTCCTACCTGGTATACAGTCAACCCTTCACTTTACGCGGTCCCACATTCCTCGCCTAATGCCATTTACGTGCCCTGCCAGGAACCCAGGATGCCTACATTCAAGGGGTGGGTGTACCCCTTACACGGGTGAAGTATAATTTTTTTTTATTTAGCTCATAAATTCATACAAATTATCCGCCAGAATATAATTTAGCATTGCTGAATTCTGCCAATTTGATGATCATTTTGAATGAAACATCACAGATTTTGCATTAGACATACAAATTTTAGATATAATGCTTACTCTGGGAGTAAATATGTTATCTTTTGTGCAAAAATATATGACATTTATATTCAAATATTCCTGGTCTTACATGAATCCAGCAATGTCAATTATATTATCCTAACTTTAATCTGGAGGTATTATTTAATACTTCAATGTTAAAATCTAGTTTTTTCACCCACTCTTTCTCTTGAAGGGAGGGTTGGTGGGAGGTGGGGGGGAGGGTTGGGACGGACTGACCATCTGGCTCGTTGGAAGAGGGGGGAGGCAAGGTGGGGTACTTTGATTGACAGATAGTGTCATGAAGAATATTTTTTTTTTATTAACTGAAGATATTTCTTTTAGCTCATAAAATTCATACAAATTACCTGGCCAGAATATAATTTACATTGCTGGAATTCTTACAATTTGATGATCATTTTGAATATAAACATCATAGATTTTGCATTAGACATACAAATTTTAGATGTAATGTTTACTCTAAGTAAATATGTTATCTTTTGTGAAAAATATATGACATTTATATTCAAAATATTCCAGGTCTAACAAGGAATCCAGCAATGTCAATTATATTATCCTAACTTTAGTTTGAGGTATTATTTATTACTATACCTGGTTTTCCCCCCAAAATTTCTCAGAGGGAAGAGCCAGCGAGTGTACTGTGAGAAGAGGGGGAGGGAGTGGAGTCCATTATTTGAATGAACATTAACTTGGCGACTGTATTTCTCTATTTCTCTTAAGTACTAATTGTGTGCATGTACCATCATAAAATTAAGATGTTATTTTTACTAGAACATAGGTATTGTGTTGGAAAAAGTGGAGTTTGGGGGTCAGCTGGTCTCTATTTCATTTAATCCCATATGTTATGTTATTCACTTTACGCGTTTCTCACTTTCCGCGGTACCCTGTGGGTTACATTAACCGCGTAAAGTGAGGGTTGACTGTATATCGCATTTTGTCTCGACCCTGGAAAAAACACGTAAGGGGGGACCCTAACGCGATTTTTCACCCAAATATGATTTTCTCTCAGACTTGAAATTTGGTGGGATTAATTTCAGTAATTAAGTACATCCAAAAGAACATAAAACCAACCAATCACCTTAGAAACCAATAGTTGGCAAGTACTGAAATAAGCATCGAGAAAAACTGTCATTAAAATATTCCAAGCACCATTACGACCACTAATCATTCCGCAATCGAACTGTCGATGATAGATTCGGAATCGGCATGCTCAGGAGTACCTATACTGAGATTTTGAACAAAATCTCAAATTTGTCTCGGCAGTGAAAAATTTTGTAAGGGAGGACCCTTACGTGTTTTTTCACCCAAATGTGATTTTCTCAAAGACTTGAAATTTGGTCAGATTAATTTCAGTACATCCAGAAGAACATAAAAACGCCAACTAATCACCAGGGAAACGAATAGTCGGAGAATTACTGAAATAAGCAGTGAGGTAGCCGAGACTCCTTGAAGAAACAGATTACAGCTACTCCTCGAATTAAGACACATTCGACCTACAACCACCCGCACGCACGACCTGCCTCAATCGGTAAAACCACCTGTGCATATGACAGCCACAGTCGGTACCAAAAATTTTTCAAATAATGTGCGTATTTTCTTGACCGAAACGTTTCCATCCCGTACGAGAGCGTCGCGTGGGCTGGGTTGAGCCGCCTCGTGGCTACAGCACCCACGGCGTAAAGCACTTACTGGTAGTTGGTATTTGGCTGTCGTTGTCGATAGCAATCGCGCTGTGTACCGACATTATTTTCGTATCTAATTCACTTTAGAATGACTGGCAAGCGTAGAAGTGAGAGTGCTGGTGGTGCTCAGAAGAAAAGGAGACATTCAATTACTTTTGAGATGGAAATGAAGATAATAATGCAGTATGAAAATGGAAAAACAGTAGCAACCATTTCACTCGACCTTGGCTTCTCGCACTCGACCATATCTAAGTCATGGGTGGTTCCAAAAGTTTAAGAACCGTTGCAGTTTGCATAGTGTAAAGGTGAGTGGAGAGGCAGCAAGCGCTGATGTGGGTGCTGCCGAAGCTTTTAAGGAGCTAGATCATGTCATCGTGGAGGGAAATTATTTTCCTGAACAAATATTTAATGTGGATGAAACTGGCTTATTATGGAAGCGCATACATCCACAAAGAGGCGAAAACAATGCCGGGATTCAAGGCATTCAAGGACCGAATCACACTTTTGTTGGGGGAATGTAACTGGTTTCAAGATAAAGCGCTTCATGATATATCATTCAGAAAACCAAGGGCTTTTAAACATGTCAGCAAGCACACACTGCCATGTTTTATCACATTAACAAGAAAGCATGGATGACCCTAGTATTGTATGAGGATTGGTTCATGACTTGTTTCATTCCACAAGTCAAGGAGTATTGTCTGCAACAAGGGATTGCATTCAAGATTTTTTAAATTTTGGGTAATGCTACGGGACACCCACCACACCTGGACGACATGCAACCTGATGTGAAGGTAGTCTACATTTCACCTAACACTACCTCTATCATCCAACCCATGGATCAAGGTGCTATTGCAGCTTTTAAAGCGAATTATTTACGTACGACCTTCGCTCAGGCTGTTGCTGCTACTGAAGGTGAGAAAACGCTCAGAGAGTTTTGGAAGAACAACATTTTGAAATGTATAAAGAACATAGATGCAGCATGGGATGAGGTTGCAGGTCAGTGCATGAATGGAATATGGAAGAAAGTCCTGAAAATATATGTGAACAGTTTCAGAGGATTTAATAAAGATGAAGTAATTTCTGAGATTAGTAACAAGATAGTGGAGTTGGGTAAACAGCTTGGGTTAGAAATTGATAATGAAGATGTTGAGCAGTTGGTTGAAAGAGTAGCAGAAGAGCTAAGTACTAACGAGGATTTTACTGAACTAGAAGCACAGAAAAATGCAGAGGAAGAAGAGAGTCTGAATGTAGAAGAAGAACCTGCACCCCCCAAAATTTTTACAGTGAAGCAAATGGCAGAGGCATTTACTACAATTAATAAGGGGATGCAAATGTTTGACGGAATGGATCAAAATGTTGAGCGTTTTGCCAAAGTTGACAGAATGGTCCATGATGCACTTGCTTGCTACAGGGAGATTTATAATGAAAAGAAAACACAAACTGTGCAGTCTAAATTGGACATATATTTTCAGTGTGCAGTCTAAATTGGACATATATTTTAAGAAGTCCCCCACTGCTGTCTCCTCACGCCCCACCATTGCTGCCTCTTCACTCCCTAAAGATGATCCAATACCTTCAACCAGCAAGTTTCCCCTGTATATTAACCTGTCTGAAGAAAGTGACATTGATGACCCACCCAGTCCTGTCTTCTCTGCTTCATCCACTTAATGTAGTCTCCATGTATGATTAGAAAATTATGGGGGCCCCATGTGCATTCAGCTGACTACATTAAAGGTAAGTGCACAGTAACACTGTATCCATTCTTCATTATTGATTACTTTTACTGTACTGTATTTCATTTAAAATTTTCTATGTATTATTTTTTGCATTTTCGACTTACGGCTATTTCGACTTACAACCTGGATTTGGGTCCCTAACCCCGTCGTAAGTCGGGGAGCAGCTGTAATGACTTCACCGCCTCCAGTGAAATATCTAGTCTAAAGCTAACTGACAGTCAAATTCCCTTTGATAATCCAATACTGTATTCATGAAAATTTATCATGAAATACAGTACTTCATGCAGATTCAACCACTCCAAAGGTGGGATAATAATTATTGTTTACCTCCTTCGACCTCCAAAATGGAAGTTTCCTGAAATTCTAATTTGTTTAACATATTATTATGTTTATTATCATAACTAAAAACAGATTACTGTACTGTATACACTAAACCCCACAACAGTGCTTCATACTATAAGGAGTAAGGCATATCATACAAGCAAAACATTGAACCATAGGGAATAAAATTTATATGTGGATTCACGTACAGTACAGGTATATCCACACAGCAAATATAGACATTAACACCACCAGCTGCATACCAGGTACTGTAAGTGTGCCTGGTGAAGAAGGCAACTTGTCCAGAAAGAAGGGACAAAATTAAAAGTTAGTCCCCTAGTAAGCACCCCGTATTGTGAGAACAGATCAGACTTACAGCACACCTAGAAAATTTTACAAAGCATAGCATATAGACATGCTTGTTCAAACCTATTCCTATGTTTCCCATAAGAGGTATTCTAACCTAACTATACCGTCACACAGATTAGGGGAAAAAATTAATTTCAGTACAGTATTATCCTTAAGCCTCGGGTTAGGGTGCTGCTGGCAGGAAACCCCTCCCCCACCCACGGGGATAAATTGAGAAAAAAATCAACTTTTCCAAATATATAAAATTAATAAAAATAAATAAAAAAAATTGGCTGGAAAATAGGAGGGCGTTCTGGAACGTCACCCGGGGCCTAAGGGTTAAATGACCAACCTTCAGCCACTGGTTACGGACTTCTGGGGTACAGCTCCTCCCCGACTTACAACCTACTCGACTTACGACCACCCGCACTTACGACCTGCCTCGGTCGTACCAAAATGTTGTCAAATTACATATTTTCGAGTCCCAACATCAGTACACAGACAAAATTTTCTTTTGTAATTCACTTTAAAATGGCTGGCAAGCTTAAAAGTGAGAGTTTTGTGGTGCTAAGAAGAAAAAGAAACCCATTTTAGATTTTCTAAGTATTATTTAAGCATTTTTGACTTACAACCATTTCGACTTACGACCTGGATTTGGGTCCCTAACCCAGTCGTAAGTCGGGGAGGAGCCGTACTAAGAACGACATGTCCTTCCAAACTCACACCCGTCTCATTCCCAAAATGGACAGCCCGACCTGGTGATAATTACAGCCTTTAGTTTATTTTATACTGTATATATCTCCTGCTGAATACACTTCTATTGATGCAGAGAATCAGTTACTGTATATCAAAAATTTGTTTTTACTTTATACTCTTCACCACTGATCAGTGTCTTTACCCAAACTCTTTACCACAAATCAGCCTCTCAGTCTCTTAGCTCAAACCCTTCACCACTAATCAGCATCTTACACCCAGAGTTTTAATCACCCTCTTCCGGTGACGGGGGTCATTGTGTATACAACCAGACTTTTAAATATTTGAGTCACGAAGGACACTGTGTTTGACAGAGAGGTGTGGCAGTAAAATTAACTTATAATAATGGAAATAGTTACTTTTACCACCACACCCCCCTGTCAAAGGGTGATTAAAACTCTGGGCATTAGCTTCTTAACTCAGACTCTTCACCACTGATCAGCCTCTTTAACTTAAGACTCCTTAGCATATGTCAGAAACTCTTCACTCACCTTACAAAATTTCCTTAATCACCTGATGGTGCATGGTGAGTGCCTTGAGACCCTGAAGGCAGCCTCGCAAGTGTGTCGTGCCAAGACCTCGCTGCCAAGAGAGCTGACTCAGATTCAGCTCCTCCATCAAACTGTGGCGGAGTCTCACAATATCTTGGCGAATAGGCTCACTGACGGCTTATCTTCTCTCGGCCTCCCCATGTTCTAGATCAGCCATGAGCTGTAGCAATAAGTCAACAGTTCAGTTAAAAGACATTCTGACTTTGTTTTGGGATTATGTGAAGATCAGACACCCCTAACTTATTTCACCTGATGATTGTAAAACCCCTAATACAGTACACTCCTAGTAAGAAATACTGTATTTAAAAAATGAAGGGGAAATTATTGAAAATTCCCTTCTATAGTATCACTAATTTTCATGCAGTATACCTCTTACACTGTATACAATGATTTATTCAATCATAAACTGACATTTCTCACTAAGTGGGGTTCGTAACTAATATTATGCAATACAGTCGTTGAATAAAAAAAATTCTTACTTCAGATTTTCCCTCAGTCTGGCTGAATACAGCTCGTCCTCAGGGTTAAAGGTGCTTGAGCCACCATGAAATGGTTGATGCCACTTTATCTTCCTATCTGGTTCGTGCAGTGACTCTGGAAGATTGTCCACATATTTAGTGGGAAGGTCAAATTCATTGAGAATACGGTGCACGGTGTCTCGAGCTGAAGGTTTATTCAACTTCAATGCTACTGTGTTAAGGCTACCTGTAATTTAAATGAATTAAAAATATCAAAGAATACTTGGTGAGAAGTTTCCCTAAAAATTATCAAAAGGTTGCTGGCTATTATGGAGGGGTCTGTTGGAGGTCTGACAGCTGATGTTCTAAATAAGTGAACACACGTGTTAAGTGCCACGCTACTCTTCGGTCAAGCTTGGTAATGTGACTCAAGAGACAACAGTGAACTATACAGTTAACCC